TATGCTTGTCATTCCATTCAGAGAGAAATGTCTGCCTCTTTATTTCTTTGTTCGACAGACTATTTAAAAAGTGTTTTAAAAATGTTCACCTATAGTGAAATGCACAGATCTTAAGTGTATAATATGATGAGTTTTGACACATTTATTACATCAAGATATAGAACCTTTCTTTACAGCTCCTCAAAAGACTCCCTCATGCCCCTTCCCAGAGGTTCCAGAAAGGCTCTTCTGATCTCCTTCCCTATAGATTATGTTCGCCTGTGTTAGAAATTCAGGTAATTGTAATCATGCATTATGTATACATTATGTACTCTTTACTGTGAAGTTTCTTTCACACCACATGTTTTTGAGATTCACTCATACTGATGAGTATATAAGCATACTGTTCCTATTTCTTTTAAATTGCTGAGTGGAATCCATTGCATAGATAGGCCTCATTATTTGTATCCATTGCCAGTCAACGGACAATTAAATAGTCTCCAGATTTTAGCTACTGTAAATAAAACTTCTCTAAGGGCTTTTTTTTTCACAAATCCTTTGGTAGACATGTATTTATTTCTTGTGCAAGTACCTAGAAATAGAATTATCAAGTATGTTTATATATGGAAAATATATATACCATGTTTACATTTATGTTTAACTTTATTTGAAACCAGTGTTCTCTCTTATAATGTCATTGTCTAGTTTTTATATCAATATTATTTAACTCTTATAAAATAGATTGAAAAGTGCTCTTTCTTCTTCACTTTCTGGGGAATGTAGGGATGTTACATATTCCTGAGTAAAAACGCTACGGTTTGAGTGTTTGCCCCCTGCTCAAATTCATGTTGAAACTTAATTGCCATTGTAACAGTATTAAGAAGTGGGATCTTTAAGAGGTGTTCATGCTGTGAGGGCTCTGCTGTCATGAATGGATTAATAACTTTATCGTGACAGTGGACTGGTTATCACGGGAGTGGGTTCCTTATGAAAAGATGAGTTCTGCCTCCTTTTGTTTCTCTCTCTGCCCTTCCACTATGGGGTGACTCAGTGTGAAGGTCTTCACCAGATGCCAGCTTCTTGATCTTGGACTTCCCAGCCTCTAAAACAGTGAGCCAATAAATTTCTGCTCATTATAAATTATCCAGTTTTTGATATGCTGTTATGGCAGCACAAAACAGACTGAAACAAGGAATGACAGCATTTATTACTTAATAATTGATAGAATTTATCACTGAATACATTTGATTCTAGAAACCTGGAAAGGTTTCTAATCATGAATTAAATTTCTTTAATTGGTATAAAATTATTCAAAAGTTCTTTCTCTTCATACATTCATTTTGCTCATTTATTTTCCTGTTATTTTTAGACGACACATAATAATGGTATGTATTTATGGAATAGTACAGAGTAATATTCTGATACATGTAAACAATGTGTAACTATCTAGTGTAATTAGTATAGCCATCACTTCGAGCAGTTATCATTTCTTTGTGTTATAAACATTCAAAATCCTCTCATAATTTTTTAAAAATATACAC